GTACGGTACCTAGGACTCTACTTAGACAAAAGACTTACCTGGAAGATACATACGAAGTTAAAAAGACAAGAACTTACTAGACGATATAGCCAACTTTCACATCTTCTAGACTACAGATCTTCACTTAACTTACGAAACATGCGACTGATCTACAACACCTTACTGAGACCAATATGGATATATGGAGCAGAACTTTAGGGTTCAGCAAAACAAACACTCATAAACAAAATACAAACAGCACAATTAAAAGTTTTACGAAAAATTGTTAACGCACCTTGGTACAGTTCAAATACTACTATATAGCGACTTAAACACCCCAACAGTAAAATCCTACATCCACGACAAATACACTACATTTCATTCTTCAACCCAAAATCACTCCAATCCTCTGGTTCTTTCTATCTCCTGCTCCCTGTTACCTGTACAGCGCAGATTAAAAAGAAAATGACCAAGAGAGACCTACTATACCAATAAAAACTATATCAAGCAAATACACAAAGACAATACAAACACAACAATCCGCTAGATGCGCAGCCTCGCAGGTGCAAATTGCATAAAATATAAATAAATAAATAAAAAAAAAATTATAAATATAATAATCATTATTTATTCCTTATCTCCCTTGCATGCCACCATTTAGAAATAGATACAAATAGTAAAATTTTAAACATGTCACATTTTGAAAAAATATCTAATGGAAATTTTATTATTCAATCTAGGATACCAGAGGGTCTGTGGTATCTAACCCTAAAATACACTATTCATATATTTTTAAGTAGATCGGTTCTCTTCTGGAGCCGGTAGAAATACGAATATAAATATCAAATACATTTAATTGAAATAGATTCAATTCCGAAATTCAGTCTAAAACTTTCAGGATTTTCACCAAGCCTCCCCGGTGCTGGATGAGGGATCTCCTCCGCTAACTATAAATATTATAACAAAATAGGAAGGACGCCGCTGGGCACTCCTCTCCCTCACACCTATTCGCGCCAATCGTCTAAACCTCGATCGATTGTCGAAACCTCCGACAGGTGTGACTGAAAAAATTAAGTTAATAAAAAAAATATATGTATATATATATATATATATATATATAAAACCTATACCACTATAACCCATGAAGGGTCTTGGGTTCAGTGCTAAATTATGAAGTACTGTTACAATTCCAACGGTTGTGTAGGGCGGTGACGGGCCAATATCACGCTCAACCGGCTGGTTTTCCCCCTTAATATTTTTTTTTAATTAAGGATACCCACTTTATAGAGGCTAGGTGTGCCCCAGGAGGGTCTCCCTATTTCAGGGGTTACACACGGCTAATGATAAATTATTAGACATTAACCGGATTCATCTATTCAACCTAGGAAACCTAGCTCGGCAAATCAGTGCTCACCATATTATATATATATATATATATATATATATATATATATATATATATATATATATATATATATATATATATATATATATATATATATAGTTAGTTTTTTTTTGTTTTGGAGGTTAGTATAACATAACAGTACAATAGTAAGAGTTTACAGCGTCGTTCATTTAAGCAGTCGATCTAAGAAACAAAGGTATATTATGGTTAAGGTATAATTACAGGTGTATATTATCGGTTCCACCGCCATGGTGATCAACATCAACCAAAGTACTGTCACGTTCTCCCTCCATTTGAAGACCTTCTTTAGCACAATTAACGAGTCCTTCAGGCTCTTGCGCTGGTATCCTTTGTTCTTGACTAGGAAGAAGATGAGGAGCAAGGCCACAAGATGGAGTACGATGCACAACGTGAACAGCCAGAGGTAGCCCAAAGTAGTCACAACCAATGTTGTCACTAATCCTCCAATCAGGACGACAGAGAGCGCCGAAACCATAAAAATCTGCATTCTACGTCAGATCAGAAAGTAATAATGTGAGGGAAAAATAGTAATTAGAAAAGTATAATATTATAGTGTAATAATAATAATGTAGAGATGGTTGACCGTTGATATAATATGAGAAGGAGTTAGTCGAGAGTTCGGTCAAATAAATAAAAAATTAAAATATATTAATTATTTTAATTTTTGCCGACGTTTCGACCCACTTTGCAGGTCGTCTTCAGGGCGTAGGATGTGGCACTGCGGGAGGCAGTTGAAACACTGCTCAGTTGAAACACTGCAGCAGTGTTTCAACTGCCTCCCACAGTGCCACATCCTACGCCCTGAAGAAGACCTGCAAAGTGGGTCGAAACGTCGGCAAAAAATAAAATAATTAATATATTTTAATTTTTTATTTATTTGACCGCACCCTCGACTAACTCCTTCTCATATAATAATAATAGTAAATCTATTTATTGAAAAACTTTACAAATGCCATTGGCGAACTTATTGAAAAACTTAAAAATAATTGGCATATATTGTAAATGTGATCATCATTCGTCAACTTCCTCTGAAGGATTAACATGAAAGCTTCATTGGAGAAAACTCCTAGCGAAGGCACTCCTAACCCGATTCTTCTTAAAGCAGCAGATCCCTGCTCCAGAGGCGTTTGAGTCTCCTTGTATTCTAGAGTAGTTTGTCAGTAATGTCTGTACGAGGAGATTAGGATGTCCAATAAGAGAGCCGTGGAAATTTTTGTAAAACTTCTACGTCTGTCACTTGTGGTATTTTTAGGTCTTTATGAAGCGAGTTATTGGTTACGTAGAAGGGACAATGAGTGATATAGTGGAGAAATTCAGATTAGAAGGTTTGAGTACTATATAAGTGTGTTTTTTTGCATGAACTCCACACATGAGTGGCATATGTCCATATTGGTCTGAGTAGTATGTTGTATATAATAATTTTGCTAGAAAGTGATAGTTTTTGTGTTGTAGTAATGACATTCGATGGTTAAATCTCTTTTTCAGAGAAGTCACGTGTGTGTTTCAGCGTGGAAATAAAGCGGCACAATCGGTTAGCCGATTTTAAATAAAATGTTGCTGTTACATCTAAGGCATATATCTATCTTAAATACGTAATATCAGTTTCGTTTTTGAGCTAGACTGTTAATATACACACACAAACCATTTTTTGGGATTTGGTTATTAGGACTCAGGGTACCCCAAAACGTGTATTTCCGTTGAAAACTCGGATTTAAAAATTTAAAATTTTCAAGATCGCAATCTTTACCGTTGTTAATTACATACATACGTAAATGAAAGTAATAAAGCATGTGTTAAGTAATTAATGAAATATTTCTGCCAAAATTACCTCAACGGCAGCTCCTCAGGAGACGATTCCGATAGGAGGATACAACTCGCGCCCATCACTATGATGCTTTCGCCGAAACCGCCCGCCGCGATGGCCTGTATTATCGCCAGGATCCAAGGAGAGGAGTTCCAATAGTAGGCGGACATGAGGGATCCTACGGCGCTGATCAGATCGCCAGTAGCACCTACGTACATCAATATCTTGCTCTTTCCAGTCAGATCTCGGATGAAACCGAAGGCACAGCCTCCCAATGCAGACATGACTGTCTGTATAGCTGCTTTTGTAGACAATATACCTGAAAAATAGATAAGGAGGTTACTTTATAATAATAAAAATCTGGTGCGCGCAACACACAACTTTCACTTACCGCTCTACGTTGAATAGAAATTATTTTCTGGCAATGCTGGGCTATTATAACATTTTAAACGGAGCTAAAGCTTAAAGCTTACAGAAAACAAGTAATTAAGACCATTATAATTACAAAATGTCTATTTAATATATCGACAACAGGCAATAACCATCTGCTTTTATAAACCACACAACTTGCTTTGCTTTTATAAACCACAGAATGACTCTAATTTCAACATTTTTGAGTGATATCATTTTAGTAATATTTTTAGTTGAAAAAGTTATCTATACAGACAATGAGTAAGTTGATTTCAGAGGTGGCGATTGCAGTGTTGAAATATAGAACTGAGAATAAAGTTATAAATTTAGGTACTTATTTCTTATGATAGATGTTCTTAGAAAAGATACTGTATTAAATATCGATACAAAACAGTTTTTTTAGTCTCAACAATTAAAAAAGTATATTTTAAATTTATCCAAATTTTCACCTCTTCAGGGAAAAAACTAGAGACCATATCATTCCTCCTAATTGTCCGATTTAAACGATTTTTTTTTTTTTTTTTAGGAAATTCCATAAACCTTTAAAAAACTATACAATATCGACAAAAAAGTTTATAATTTTTGAGTTGTTCGGAATTAAATTTTACCATCCATCGTATCCAGCTTCTTTTCGTTGGAATATGTTAATTAGATAAATTTAAAGGGTGTCGAGAAAATGACTTTAGCGGAGTTTCATTCAAATCTGTACATTCGTTTAGGCGCTACAGTCTATAGCAATGCAGGTTTTTCTGCACTTTTATTTTTTTTCTCCTTTATTAAAACATCAAATTCTTTCAAATGTTATATGTAGCAATTTTTCGCAACTCTGAATAATGCGAAATAATTAACTTTTTAAGATAAACCATATTAAAGATACTTTAGAGGAAGACGTATGTGAACAATGGGCATTTAAGCCCTGTAAAGTGACATCAACGGGGATAAGACCTAAATGATATTAAAGTCCACTTAATTTTACAATGATACACCGAGTTTGATCAAAATCGTTAGAGCAGTTTTTGATAAAATTGTAAAAATGTGTTTCAGCGTTCACACCTCCGGTTAGACGATTTTAACAAAAAAGTTGCTGTAACATCCTGTCCATATAAAATTCTTAAATACTTAATATCCGTTTTATACTACTTTTCGTTTATGAGCTAGACTGTTAACACACACAGAACATTTTGCGACACTTGGTTATTTGGACTCAGAGGACCTCAAAATATGTATTTCTGTTGAAAACTGAGATTCGAAAATTTTCGAGACCTCAATTCTTACCCTTACTGTATATTACATATATACGTAAGTGAAAGTAAAAATTCACACATATATTATTACAGTAATGGTCGAAATCGGTTTTGTACCAAATATAAGCTCTGTCATGGATTCTGAATTTCGTACGAAATTCTGTACAGAAAAGTGTCTTTTTACTTTTACTTCGATTAAGAAGTGTAGCACAAACTTCATAACTCTGTTGCTGTTGTTTTTTTTTTGGTGGTCGTTAAATGTCTGTGGAACTAAACTTGAGGTGGTCATCGACGGTCGATTTGCTAAGCTTAAGTTTCCATGCAAGTTTTCGGAGAGTTTTTCTGGGGGTTTCTTCCACCAAAGCCCACCGAAAACAGAAAGTTCTTCTACGACCTTCTTTATATTCAAGGCTTAAGTCTCTCTCACGAAATTTTTTTAACAACCGTTGGACTTGATTGATGTTTCTTGCCTTCTGTGTCCCATTTTGGCCGAGTTTAAACTCGCAAAACAAAATTATAAGGAAATCCCGCGTTGACACAACGCTTTGTTGATAACAAACATTATGGTTTAGAAGAGGATTAATATGACTTGATATTCATACAAATGAATAATCCAGTAAACGTAAGTAGTTTGTTATATAGAGAGGTATTTTAAACTCAAAATCCTACTTTATTTTTCGGAAAACCCAATATTATTACAGTGAAGCTCGAAATCGGTTTTGTATCAAATATAAGCCCCTGTTATGCTCAAATACCATTCATGGGGTACTGTTGGATACTTAATTTCACGGGGGGTTAGCGAATCGTAGTCTTCACTTTTTTAAGCTACACGAAATGATACAAACCAGACCCCTGTAAATATAAAATAACTAAAGATATACAACAAAAACCTTTGAGGAGTTTTTCTATATCTGTTGTATTAAACGCGTCAAATCTAAAAGTTATCGATATGGTGTTGAAGAGTAATAACTCTGAGGAGTTATGAATCATATAGTGAATAGCAGAGGGAAAAATGAAATAGAAAGATAAGTCGCGTTTCTATGGCGACGCAGTCAACAGAACATTGCTATCCATAACCCTATTCGTACATCGGTACATATATTATTACAGTAAGGCTCGAAATCGGTTTTGTACCAAATATAAGCTCCTGTCATGCTCAAATACCATGAATGGTGTACTGTTGGATTCAGAATGTCACGGAGAGTTAGCGAATCGTACTCTCGGATTGTTTTATTTTCTAAAATAAATAAAGTCGATAAAAATATTTTGCTAGGCTTCAATACTGGAACGGTGGTAAGTCTGTAGATCGATACGGAACAAATTGGGCTTTGAAGATTTTGATGCGTACAGCAAGAAAATGCAAGGCAAAGACTTTGTATCCACACAACCTCACGTTAATTGTAGTGCTGCTTTGGGATACATGTCTCATTTCATCGACTTAATGTCTCTTTGATCGAAAGAGGAGGAGCTTAAAATAGAATAGAAAGTACAAAATTAAAATATTACATTCGGTCTAAATAAAAACAAACAAAAAGTAAAAATAAAGAGAAATAAGTAAAGAAAATCTTAGTTAAACATACTATATACAATATACAATATACTATATACAATATAAAAAAATCTGTATACAAAATACTTGAAACTATGCTAAGACACTTAAAACTATGTACATTGGTAAAACATAAATATAGAATAGAATAGAATAGAAAAATAATTTTATTCTGGGACGAAGTCCCTTCAGAATAACAAAAAAGTACAGAAATTAAAATTTTACATCTGGCCAGATAAAAACAAACATAACAAATTAAGATAATGATAGGTCATTAAAGAAAAGAAAAGAAAAAAAATATTGGTTATACATACTATATACAAAATAAAATATAAAAATCTATATAAAAAACTCTTGAAACCATACTAAGATATTTAAAACTATGTACGATGTTAAAATATAAATAAACCCTTTTAGAAAAAATAAAAAATACAGAAAAAATAAATGTATATTCTTCTTAACAGTAAAATCTGTTTCTGTTGAAACAGAAAAAAAAAAAAAAAAAGAGAAAAAGAAAGTCGAATCTATAATAAGTATTCAGGTCATGAGCTATATGTGAATATGGTCTTATATATAATGTGTAATTTTACATAAAAGATTAGCTGGTGCCTGACTGTTTTTGGGACAGGAATTGGAATAGGAGGGTTTTGAATGTAGATAAGGATGAAGAATGTCGAATTTTGATTGGAAGGGAATTCCAGAAACTAACAGAACGTGCAATAAAGGAGTTTTGGAACGAGGCAGATCTGTGAGAAGGAATGTAAAGGTCGGAAGGTCGAGATCTTGTGGAGAGGGAGTGGACTGAGGACTTGAATTGGAGAAGGTTGTAGGCGTAGGAAGGACGATGATTGTTGATGATATGATAGAGGAATGTACCTAGGAAATATTGTCTTCGAATGGAGGGGAAGAGCCACTCTAACTCAGTGTAATGGTGAGAGACATAGTAGTATCTCGGGGCACCAATTACAAATCTCACGCAACTGTTCATTATTCTTTTCAGTCTGTCGCGAAGCTCCACCGAGAGTCCATCATACACCACACAGCAGTAGTCAAAGGGGGGGAAGATGAGAGAGGAAACGAGGAGTCTGCGCGTATGTTGAGGTAGGAGATGGCGGAAGCAATGGAATAGTTTGAGGGTAGAGACTGTCCGTCGGGAGATGTGAGAAATATGGTGACTCCAGGAGAGGGTTTGATCAATAAATAGTCCTAAATTTTTTACAGAGGAGTAGAAGGAGATTGGCTGGTCACCAAGGTTTAGTATGGGAAAGTCCGTATAGGATCTAAGGAGGGGCTTGGAACCAATGACAATGGCCTGAGTTTTTGAAGCATTTAACCTTAATCCGTTTAATTTTGCCCAGGCACAGATTCGATCTAGGTCTGCTTGGATCTTAGTAAATGCTACCAATAGCTCAGGGGGAGAAAAGGATAGGTATATTTGAGAATCATCTGCATAAAGGTGGTGGGAACAATGGAGAATTGAGTCATGGAGGTCATTGATATAGGAACTAAAAAGGAGAGGAGATATGCTAGATCCTTGGGCGACTCCAGAGGATAAAGGCAGGTAGGCAGATAGTGGTTGATTAGGAATGGAGACTGCTTGGGTGCGTTGTGATAGGAAAGATTGGAACCAAGAGATGGAGCTATTGGAGAAGGAGAGTGATTTTAGTTTGTTGAAAAGGATGGGATGGTTAATGGAATCAAAGGCTTTAGAGAAGTCAAGAAGTATAAGGACAGTTAGTTGTTTATTATCTATTGCAGTCTGAACATCATTAGTAATTTTGATTAAGGCGGATTGTGTGGAGTAGCCAGGACGGAAACCAGATTGGAGAGGATCGAGTTGGTTAGACTTTTCTAGGAAATTGGAAACTTGGGATTGCACCAATCTTTCTAGGGGTTTTGAGAGATTGGAAAGAATTGAGATTGGGCGAAAGTCTTCGGGAGAGGATGGATTAGGCTTTTTATTTAAAGGGAGTACAATGGCTTTTTTCCAAGAGAAAGGGAATTTTGAGTTCTGTAGGGAGAAATTGTAAATGAAAAGGAGAACTGGGAGGATTTCGGGGAGACATAATTTTATCAAGCTCGCCGAATTCTTGTTTGTGTCAAATTGCGGAGCACCCTAAACGCTTGATCAAAGTCATCTGTAAGCCTAGTACGTCTAAAGCGTCTGCGGGCAGCATCACGCCTCTTCTGCAGATCCTTGATTTCTTGACACATCCAAGGTGCAGGCCGACGGCGAAAGGTTGAGGTTTTTATGGGAGCATGGGTGTTAAGGATATTGAGGAGATTGGAAGTCAGAATCTCAACCATGGAGTCGATGGAGGAGCAGGAATATATTTCGTTCAAGTCTAAGGTTTCAAGGTCAGGTAGTATTTTTTCACGGGTGAGAGTGTCTATCTGACGGAAAGTGAAGGTTCTCGGATGAATTAGAGGGGTTTGGATATTATATGTTATTTGGATCATGTCGTGAGACGATAAGAAGGATACTGGCAGTTGAGAAGAGGAGAGGAGATTTATTTCGGAGTCTATAATGAAGAAGTCTAACCAAGTGTCGGCCTTGTGGGTGTGGTGAGTAGGATAAAAAGGAACAATAAAGAGATGGAGGGAAAAAAATAGGTTTTCTAGATAGGTTTTGTCTTTGGAATTAGAAAGGAAATTGGTATTGAGGTCACCGGCGATGATTATTCTAGGATAGAGGGGAACAAAGTTGAGTAGGGTTGATTCTAAGAACGGATCAAATGGAACAAGGGGAGGACGGTAGATCACTATGTAAAGGAGAGGTGAATTATTACAGGTAATTTCTACTAGAAGGTACTCCACTTGTGGATGTTCGGAGGGTGGGGAGTAATCAAGGATTCGGGACTTCAGGCTATCATAGACAAATATGGCCACTCCACCACCAGTCCGGCTGACCCGGTCGTGGCAAATGAGGGTGTAATTAGGTAAGGAGACAGATGAGGACGGAATATAGGGTTTGAGCCAGGTTTCTGAGATTGCGATGATGTGAAAAAAGTTTTGAGAAAAGTACTGCAGGAATTCATCATAATGGGCGGGAAGGGATTGCGAGTTAACGTGGCAGGTGGTTAGGATGCTAGACATGGGGAGGGTTTGATGGGAAACAGTCAGAAATTAGCATAGAGGAAATGAGGCATATATCATATTCTGAAAAAAAATTATGAAAAGTACTGATAAGCAAAATAAAAGTGAATAATGAAAAAATAAGTGAGAAATAAGAGTAAGAAAATAAACAAATTAGTAAACTGGAGCTGTGAGAAATTTTAATCAAAATCTTCAATGTTATTTGGGCACCAATGAAGACAAAAAATACTTTGAAGAACGAGAAGAAGAGATGAAACCTGTGGAGTCAGGCGAAAACTTCTAGATCCGATGCCTGATTAATCAAGATTACTTGATGGCCGTCTTCTTTTCGGCAACGCACAATGCCGGCAGAGAACCATACGTATCTTATCTTCCCGGCAGCTCTCTTCTGCCGGGCTAGCCAGTAGAGGTGCCTGTTTGTTGGGGTCATCTCCTCGCCGAGATAAATTCGGTGGCAGTCGTTTTCCTGCCACCCGATATCCCTCGTCGAGAAATCCCTCTTCACTTTCCTTTTCGCTATCAGGTCGTCCCTCACTGACTGCCTGACGAAATGCGCTATTACCGGCGGCGGTCGCGGGTCATCCTTCTTGCTTCTGCGGCGCTGCACGACATCCACATCCTCCACACCGAGCTTGATGCCCAGCCCCGCGGCTATACTGGTCACCAGAGCCGCGGGCGTCTCGCCTGCTCGCACTGGGATCCCACGGATCTCCAATGATCTAGATAATTGACCCTGTTCTGTTTTGTTCAGGCGGATCTCTAAATCGCCCACTCGAGCTTTGAGGGCTTTATTTTCCAAAATGATCTCCTCAAAATGTTTGGCTTGGCCCTCGAGATGTTTTTCTAATTTAGATAACCTCTCATTCAGTTCAAAGCTGAGGTCTCCATATTTATCGAGGGCTGTCTCCATATCCCTTATTTCCTCACTAACATGACTATCCAGTCTATTAACTGCTGCTAATATTTCTGATACAGGCGGTTCATTGTTTAAATTTAGTTTCTTAGTTTGATCGCAATTTAGGCACATCCATGTTTTTTTTGTGCTTCTCTGAGCTTCTATCTCTTTGTCTGTGAGATTAAAACACTTGCCGTGATAAATAACTTTGCACTTGGTACAACATAAATTGTATTTATCTTCACGGGCAATAGCGTTATTACAAATCGTGCACTGGACCATTTTTAATAATAAAAAATAACTTACAGTTAATGTCAAGTGAAGTTAATGTTGTGATCCGCCAAGCAAACAACTGCTAATACTAATAGGATTATTAGCTTAACACTCACAAGGCTCGTAGCACTCTCACTATATTTTCTTTACGTTGAGTAGCGTGAAAATACGTAAATATAAGAAGTTTTAAAGATTACGTTCGATAGTATGACACTGTTAAGAAAAGAAACAACGAAAGAAAAAACCAAAATTGGGCTCAATATATCAAATTGAAAGAAAGCGCTCCGTAGATGTTTACTCACTGCCGTCTCTGGCCAGACTGACTAAATATACACTTTTAGAAGAAAAAAGAAAACATTCATTACATTCTCCTTAGAAATAAACTCAGTATTTCTGTAGAAAAAAAGAAAGGCAAATCTGACAGTAATAATTGTCTGAGTATTTAAATGATGAATTATAAGTAAATATATCAGTATGTAAACCATTATGAATAATTTGTAATTTGACATAAAATCTGAATGTTTTGGGGACAGAAATTGGAATAGGAGGAGTTGAAGGTAATTCCAGATATTAACAGAGCGAGCAATAAAGGAATATTGGAATAAGGCAGATCTGTGAGAAGTAATGTAAAGGTCGGAAGGTCGAGATCTTGTGGAACGGGAATGGACTAAGGACTTAAATTAGAGAAGGTCGTAGGCGTAAAAATGACGATGATTGTCGATGATTTTATAAAGGAACGTACCAAGAAAATATTGTTTTCGAATGGAGGAGAAGAGCCACTTATTAAGCCAACATGGCTCTCATTGTAGTTTTGAGAGACATGGGAATATATCGGGGCATTCATTAAAAATCTTACGCAGCTGTTCATTAGTCTGGCTTTTTTTATTTATCAAAGATGTTTTTTTGTTGGTAAGCCGTATCTTTGTTAATGATTCATCAAAATGGGTTGAGTTATCCATTTCAAGGTTTCATTCTCCTTCAGCCGATAAAAATATGAATCAATGAAGTCATGAAATAAAAGCTTTATTTACAAATAACTCAACACACTCAATACCTTCTTTCATGAATATTTAAAATATTACTAAATTTTCTACAAAAGGAAAAATAAATCATTGAAATCGGACAATTATTAGCAAATAAACAGCTTTATTCAAATTTGTAAACATTTTGGTTCAAAGCATTAATGATGTTTTAAAAAAAATTTGGTACGTACAACTTTCACTTACCTCTCATCTTTGAATAGAAATTATTTTCTGGCCATGTTGGACTATTATAAAATTTTGAATTGCATTTCTAACTGAGCTAAACCTAAATTCTTACACCTAACAAATCATAAATACTATTAAAATAAAAACAGTCTACTTTATTATATCACCAGTTGATTATTGATTGTTTCGTTCCGTCGATTATGGATCGTTCGATCCGTTGATAAAGTGATTTGTACGACTATTAGTTATTGAACAGTATTTTCCATTGCAAATTTTGCTAAAATGGAATTAAGAGATTTATATTGTCTGTCATAGAGAGGTCAAAATTTGTCACACAAATTGGAAGTGGATACTGTTGGAATATCACAAAAGGAAAATTCATCAAATTATTCACCAATTTAATTTTGAAAAAGATTACATGCTAATTTTTAAAAGGAATAAACGGACGATAGAAACCTAATTATTTAAATATAATTTCAGATCTAGAGTTACTCGAGAACCCTAACAAAATACAGTAAATATATTTAAGTTTATAAACAAATCTATGAAATATTTTTATATTTCACTTCTTCTTTCACACAATACAATGAAATAGTAGTAGATACTGTTGGAATATTAAATTTCATCTGAATTTATTCAACCTACTTTAATCTACATTAACTTTATTCTATCTGCTTTATTTTACTTTAAGTTTATTCTACCTAAATTTTTTAGACTATATCTTTCACCTAAAAATATATTTTTTTCTTTTTAATGTTAATATTTTCTCATACCTATTGTTATCTGTTTTTTCTTAGTCCATAACTTTGGGCTGAAACGTCAGCTAAAATACAAATGAATATACTTATTTATTTTTACTAATCATCTCAACCAATATTCTCTTCTATTATTTAAATTACTGTATATATAGTTAGAATATTATTAAGTTAATCTGTGGCCAGATATTTTTTTTTTATTTTGTTCATTATTCTGAGGGGACTGTGCCCACAATAAAGTTTATTTTTAAAAGAAAATCAATTAAACAATCTTGTGCGGTGCGCTCATCACGAAACTTTCACTCATCACCCTATTCTTATCACATGTAAGTATTTTCAAACAAAGGGAAAGTGAAAGTAAAAATTATAAATCCTATATTGATTTATATTTCATTTTGGATATTTTTATTTGTTTAAGTACTCTTGTATATATACATATTTTAATATTTATATCTTTGTGATCTATACAATTAAATATTAAACAGTAACGACGAAAACATTTAGGAAAATCGCTTATGTTTATGAACATAATATTGTAGGAGACCGTATTTTATTTTTTATTATGCTCATGTTACGTATGTAAGCCAGTTCTAATCTTCGAGCTGAGCTCTGAATCGCTCTTATCCCTTTGGTTACTTCATTACAACTACTCTCTGTTACTATCTCACATTTCTTCTTTATTTAATTATCATATCCTTCCATATTTTATATTTAAATATTTTTATATTAAAGATCAATGTGAAATGGTTAATTGTTCCAAATAACCAAAAATTAAAGGTACTTTAGAAGAATCTAATATTGAAATTTGGAATTTAAGAATGAGAATAAAACCTACATAATATAACCTACATAATACACTCCTGGGAAGGTTTCTGGCATAGTACTTCTGTCTTACGATAATCTTATATATGTAACAAAAATGAAAATGTAAATGTTTTTCTGTTCAAAACCGCAACAAATGTGTCGCTATAAACTGTAGCGCCAAAACGGCTTTACGGATTTTAACGAAACTTGGCTAAAGTCTTCCCCTTGAAACCCTTTTAATTTATGTGTATAACATACATTCCCGAAAACAAGCTGAAAAATGTTACGATGAATTAAATATTTTATTTGACGATAACTAAAAAAGTACACAATTTTTTAATGATAATACCCACATTTATTTGAAAGATTCCTGAATTGCTGACAATATAAAAAATCATCGAAATCGTTCGTTGCAGAGTTATTGAGTTTTAAACATTTACTGCTTTCTCTTCAGAAAAGGTCGTTTCCTTTTGCTTCCTCACTACCGAACGTCGGCAAGCATTTTTTTAAAAATTTTTATTGATTAATCGAAAATTTTATAATTACTACAGTAATTGAAATTATCATTTGAAGAATTTATATGATTCTCCTTATGTAGGTCAATATTATTATACGTTTTTTAAATTAATTTTTTAATTTAGTTTTATAAGTTCAACTTAGGCTGTTTCTGATGATTATGAATGTTCAATTTGAATCATGGGAAACAAAAAACTATTAGAATTAGTTTCAATTGAAGCCATTTTACAGACAAATTTATTTCCCAACTTTTTAAAAATTACAGATGCCCTTTGCTACTAATCTACTCATATGTGCTTTCTATTTTCTTTCTTTTTCATTTTGCGAGGCTAAGCCACAGCTGCGCGTGGCCGGGTAAAGCTAGTAATTCTCTAAAAAACGGTCTGTATAGGGGACTACATAGGTAAGTGGAAGTAAAAATAATATATCAGCTGTTGGGAAGTGGAGAGCTTGATATAAGTAGGGTCAGGGCAGAATTATCCTCCGCCCCTCCCCCCATCGCAGTTCCACTTTATATAAAGTATAAATATGACGTACTTACAGGAACACTCACCAATCAAACTGCTGACTGTCAAGCTGTATGGATTACTAACCAGTGATATAGCTCATGATGCTGCTGTCGGGGCAGATGAACCTGTTGATATCGTCCGGTGGGCCCGTCGGACTACACAACTTCTGGACCAGCATGTTGTAGGTCACCCCGGAAGCCATGACGGTCGCCATAGTGCTGATGATGACCGGCAGCAAGACGGACAGCCCCTTCAAGACACTGAGTATTCCCATCTTGACAGATCGCTACAGTTCTCTTCGCCGTCTAGTTCGCTTAGTTTTGATATTCGATTCCTTATCTTATCGGACCGTTCGAGATTTTATTCAATGGCAATATTCATAGAAGAAGAATGAGTAATCGTTGTCTGACGTACGAATGTCTGAGTGAAAAGAATTGTGATTGTCGCAAATCGATTTTGATTTGACAAAGGGTCATACAGATATTATTGTGATGATTCTTGGTTTGAAGTAGATATTAAATGTATTATGAGTAATTTCTCTGACGTAAACAGTTCGTAATGGACGAAACAACACGAAGCCAACACAACAAAATGAAGATATGTAGTGTGATTTAGACCACACTATGTGAAAACATCATCAAAGCCGAAATGAATAATATGAAACACAAATTGGCCCTTGCGAAAAATTCGCAGATAATTTTGTTTACCGAAAAAATATTAAAACAATATGAAAATAAGTAGTTCCTATGTATTATGTAAGGAATGAATTAATGTTTTTTTCTTTGTCGATTACAATATTCCATTAAACATAATAGACCAAAATATTTGTACAAATTGATTTGCAAGGATCTATTTTTAAACACTGACTGGAAAGATAATAAAAGTAATAAAGGCAAAATAATGCCCCGATTATAAGATTTTCTAAATTATTAAAAAAATATATATATAAGAACAACCTAAATGCCTTTAAGAAATAATAAAATTAATACATCTGCTAGGGAAAAAAGTGCAGCATACTATTCTACTCTTAAATGCAATATTTTTAAACAGGAAGGCATTATTAAGTACACAAAAACTAATGGACTGTATCTTTGTTAATAAGTGTCCGAATTTTACGATTTTTTTGTATGTAATTTAGTACTCTTCCTAATTATTATGGGTACAATCAAGAAAAAAATTCCTACTTTTTTAGTTATTCGCAAATAAAGTTTCTTTTGCTCCATAACTTTTTTCCCAAGAAATTTCCAGGGATGGGACTACTTTTCGCATGCGAAGGAGAAGAATTTCTTCAAAATGAGTGGTAATCATTGGATTTGATGAAGAATTGACGAAGTTATGGTGTACCGAAAAAAAAAAACACCTTTTAGAAATATGGATAGGATAAATTTACATTCACAATGTAATAAAATTTACAATACAAGATAATTATAGTCGAACTTTTTCAACGGAAATACACGGTTTGAGAGAAATAACAATTTAATAACTAATATTTATACAATCCATAATCATTTCTAGGTTAAATATTCTTGTAAACTTTCAAATCTCTCTAGGTATATATGAGCCTTTCGGTTGACAGAATGACCAACTCCAATTTCAACATCCTTTATTATTAATTTTAATGATGTTTCTAGTGGTAAAATTTATACATTTGTTCACAGTTCTATATTTAAACACAGCAACACCTACTCTGGAATCAACTTACTCACTGTCTGTATAGATATAACTTTTCCAAATAGAAATGTCACTAAAATGATATTATTCAAAAATGTTGAAATTGGAGTTAGTCATTCTGTCAGGCCCAGAGACTTAAGTTGTGTGGTTTATAAAAAGCAGATGGAGTGACTAGATTTTTATTGCCAACTGTCGATATAATAAATAGATGTTTTGTAATTTTATTGGTCTTAAGTTGTTGTAATCTGTAAGCATTAAGATTTAGCTCCGTTTAAAATGCACTTCAAAAATTTTATAATAGTCCAACATTGCCAAAAAATGATTTGTATTCAAAGTATAGCGGTAATAGAAAGTTGTTTGTTGCGCGCACCAGATTTTTATTTATAGGTTTATTGAAAAAATAATGAAATGCTGAACATTTCGCCCGCTTTCAGTATGCAGGTCAGATTTTTAGTTTCTGAGATATTTTAAACCATATTAAAAAAAAAAAAAATCTGGTGTGTCCACTCACTCGACTTTCATATATTTTTTAGAAAAGTATTTATATCTTTACATATGTTCATGAAGAAACAAAAAAAAATTGAACTAGATTTATTTTCCTGAAAATTGATCAAAGAAAAGATTAAAGTACGATTTATTTGATAAACTAAAGCTATGTAAACCGGCTTAAGGTAGATAAGGGTAAAAATTTCAATACTCTCTAATATTGCTGATCAAAAACTTTTTGCCATTGCTTAGTATTGTCAAACAATAATTTCTGTTAAAATTAGAGGAAATAGTGAAGCTAGTGTGATGCGGGCAACAGATTTTCTTACTTTCACTTAGTCGTCTTTTTTCTCTCATTCACCCCTTTCTGACTCCAGGATATGTACCCGTTATCTTACATTGGAAATTGAGTAGCTGTCTTGGCACAGACACAAAGACAGATATACTGACAGACCAATGGCTAAAAAGGTGTTTTTCGTACTCAATGGGCTCTGATACGTATAGATCTGTCGAAAACAGTGTATCGGAAATTAGTTGGTTGTTTTTGTTGGTAATTTGATTACCTTTCAAAAGTTTCGTTATAGATTTTACCGTATAATATATACTTAGGGAGTTAGGCCCCATTACATTGTTATTTTCTTTCTAACTTTTTTTCCTGAATTTTTTCGGAAATTTAGTCAATATACGAAAATTCAAAGGGTAGTTATTAGACCATTATAGAAAAGTTTCATCAAAACCGTTAGAGCCGTTTTCGTGCTACAATCTATAGAAAAACATGTTTTTCATTTATTGCGCGCAAGCTATTGCGCATGGAGCACCGAATTTCTGTCACAGGCATCAGTAGTCAAGACTCTACAATTTTTTTTTTTTTATTTATATGATATTTACAACTCTATACAAAAAACTTCTGCCAAGTAAGGTCAGTATAGCTTCCTCACCGTTTCCGTTGTATATTACAAGGTATATAATTTTTCGTATGAGAATAAAATCGGAATAGCCGTTACAGTTACCCTTCAACATTCAACAACAGAGGGTCGGATTGAATATTCCATACTTGATTATGCTTAATAAAAAAAAAAAAAAAAAAAAAAATGCATACTGAACATGAATTTCAATACTGTTAGTTCAAAAGGTCTTATGTATAAATTTATTTATTGTTTTACTAGAGTGCATAAAAACTCAATATTTCTTTATGCTTTATTAGAATAATTTCATATTTTATTTTCATCTGCTATTTTCCATAGTAGCAGACTACTTATATCAGTTGCAAACTACAAAATATCACCTTACCGAATCAAGATTTAATTTTGGAGGAGGGGCTTCAGCACGAAAGATTTATATATATACATATATATATATATATATATATATATATATATATATATATATATATATATAACGATAATTAATTTGAAAAAACCACTGCAAATTATTTCTCTTTGGTACATTATTTCCAAACAATTATACATATAAAGTAACATTAAATTCCTAGTTATAAAGAAAAATAAATAAAAGGTGATTCTAATTATTAGACTAAAATTTTTTTTATTCATTAGTAATATGCTAAAAAAAATAGCATTACTTCAGTAACACATTCAGAAATCAAAAAAAAAGAAAAACCTTTTGCAATAGCACATCTAAAAAAAACTAGAGACCATATCTTTGCTCCTAATTGTCCGATTTTGACGATTTTTTTTTGGAGGGGTTTTTAGGAAATTCCGTGAACTTCTAAAAAACCATATACAATATTGACATAAATGTGTATACTTCTTGAGTTATTCGGAATTTAATTTTACCATCCCTCGTAACTTTTTTTGAGTTTCTTTTCGTTGAAGTATGTAGTATAGATAAATTTAGAGGGCGTAGAGAAAATGACTTTAGCGAAATTTCATCAAAATCGGTACATTCGTTTAGGCTCTACAGTCTATAGCAACGCAGATTTTTCGGCCGCCATTTTGAAACTAGAAGGCGAATAGTAATGTCGTTGAAGGAGGATGATCCTCGGGTGACCTCTGATTTTATATCCAAATTCGAAAAAAATCGGTCAAGTAGTTTCAGAAAAAATGCGCGGACGGCGGACGGCGGACTAGTAGTGCACATATAAGAGAAAGTGTTGGACACAATTCAATGAAATTGACACTACATTATTTTTTCACCAAAGTCTACCTTTTATCTAACTTTGAGCCAAATCGAACGAGCCCTTTCTGAAATATTGGCATATCTAAAAATATACGTTTGCACGTGCGTAGGCGGAAGTGCTGGATGGAATTTGATAAAATTGATATGGGACCATCTAGGCACCAATCAGCATAATCCCTGAAAATTTCATGAAGATTAGATGAACGGTACTAGGTGATATGCCCGTCACATCGATTTGACTACCGACAGACAGACAGACAGACACCAAACCAAATTTGATCCTTGATGTCTGAAACGTAAAACGCGAGTGAAATTTTTCGATTCTGAACAAAAAATTTTTTTAATCTCTCGCACGAACACAATTCTTTCCTACCTTCGGTAGTGAGGAAGCAAAAATACATCTGGTAAATTCGTACATGGATATAAAGACTTGAAACACATGTTGAGAAACTACCCATTGGTAGCACTCTAATAATATGCATATATTAGGAGATCACGTGGCCATGTTCTTTTCAGATGCCTCGGAGGATTATCAGGAATTGAATAGGAAGCAAGGTTAGAAACAGGAGGTTTGGGATGATTATGAAGTTTATTATGGAAGGACAGGTATCTGGATTGGGCCAAATCTGATACATAAGGAACATTAAGGTCATTATGGATGATTTTATTTTTAACAAAGTAAGGAGCATTGAGGATTTTACGAAGGATTCTGGATTGTAAGGATTGGATGCGAGAGGAATTTGAAGGTTTGGTGGAGCTCTCCCACTCAATTCCGTAAGTCCAAATAGGTCTTATTATTGTCATGTATATGAGTCGTTTGTAATTGATTGAAAGCTTAGAGCGTTTGTCTAGTAAGTGCTGCAGTAGTCGATAGTATAATATTATTAATTTATTTATTGCACATCCTGCAACAGTATTTGACAAAATCACAGGACATCGCGCTTACTCTTCGTACTGTAAATTAATCTTTTATAGTTAAATGGAAGGTTAGAGCGTTTGTCTAGTAAGTGTTGAAGTAGTCGGAAACGTCGAGCTGTTTCTTGTCGTTTCAGTCTGGTATGAGGATTCCAAGTTAGACGTTTGTCCAGATGGAGTCCT